AACCTACTTGCTGTGTCACTAACTGGCACAGAGAGGAATCCAGAAAGCCAAGGAAAGATAATACAGTGGTTCCTTTTATCTTCAAGATTTCAGCCCACTTGTGGCAGGTGCTGCGTGTGGCCGCCGATGCCCACTCCCTATGTACGAGTGCCTGGGTTTGAGTTCTGCCTGGACTTCAGATTCCTGCTTGGGGCTGATGTGCATCCTGAGAGGCACCAGGAGCTGGCTTGAATCATGGGATCCCTGCCGCCCATGTGAGGGACCTGGGTGTTGTTCCAGGCTCCTGATTTTGACCTGACCCAACCTTGACTGACACAGGCATTTGAGGGGTGAAATAGAGCCTGGGAGTGTATTCTTTCCATGCTCATACGTTCCATCTCTCTCCCTCTGTTGGTCTGTCTCTCCCTCTGTCTCCACCTCTAAAATAAATAAAATGAATACTTTTAAAAGGCAAAAAGCATATCCATTCACAAAAAATCCTCATATGCACTTTGAAACAGCCCTGAATAAAGGTAGTGTTGTGTAATACGCCATTCGTGTTGCCACCAGCAGGTGGCATCAGTAGTCGCGCTCAGTGATTTAAGGCAGTGGCTTAACTGTCTTGCCTCTGTTGGCTCATTTTTCCTATTTTATTTTAATGCTTTGCAAATATAAACCACAGGTGATAACTGCAAAAGCAGTGAATGTGTTAAAAATACTTTAATAGAAGTATATATTATGAGAAAAAAATAGAGGCTATTTGAAAAAAAGGGAAAATAGAAAATCACGTAGTTTGCCTGTGCACAAGGAACGCGTTTTTCCTGACAAGGGTAATTATGAAGCGCAAAGAGTACGTCACATTAGGATGATGATGGGAGAGTGCTTCAAGCCTGTTACACACTGAATTATGTCCTCCTCCCTTTCCCTGAGTCCAAACATTAAAGCTCTAAGTCCTAATTAGCCTGTTTGTAAAGCTGAATGAGATCCCGGTAGGACTGATGTCCAGACCTAAAGAGAGAGCACAGCAGGGCTGTGTGTACTTACAAACGCTCGTGCGAGCACCGAGTGAGAAGGGGACCAGCCACACCCGCAGGGCACAGGTTTCAGGAGAGACCAGCACACGGGCTTGCAGATCCGGGTCTTCAGTCTTCAGAACTCTGAGAAACAAACTTCTGTCTTTGTGGAAGTTACACAATGGGTTGACGTCTTATGTGGTAGCCCTAGCAGACTAATGTACGACAGTAATCCACAGGGGACTGAGATTAGTGACTGTGGCAGAGTGTGTGGTTAAGAGATCAGCATTAATTACAGATGCTTGGTAGTATGAGGAACGGGCAAGGAGTTTGCAATCCTCAAAAGCTGTCGGGTTAGGCCTCACAGAGAAGACAACTTTTGAGCAAATATTCACAGGTGAGAGTTAGTTGGAGACTGTTTGAAGGAAGTGTGTTCCACATTGAGGACCCAGCCACTGTAAAGGCCCTCTGGTGGTATCAAACCTGGTACAGCGAGAAGCAGCCAAGATCCAGCATGACTGTAGCCTCATGGCAGTACGCTATTACCCATTTCCATACCCCAGTATGGATTAAGACCTCATTTAATATTCATCTTATCTTGATGGGTATTAGAGTCTCGATTCTAGCAATTAAGAACCACTACATGCTCAGTGCTGCTCCAGAAGGGTCCCATCATTCATTCCCTTTTTATAATACTAAACCAAGTTCTATGACTAGCTCTACCATTCATTTTTTTCCTGTCCAGTTTTTAAAAATATTTATTTTGTCTTTATTTGAAAGGCTGAGTTACAGAGAAAAGGAGAAAAAGAGAGAGGGAGAGAGGGAGGGAGGGAGGGAGAGAAGACAGATACAGAGAGAAAATTTCCATCCATCCATTGATTCATTACTCAAATGGCTGCACTGTCCAGAACTGAGCCAATCCAGAGCTAGGAACCTTTCTGGGTCTTTCATGTGAGTACAGGTCCTTAGGTTCTGAGCCACCATCTGCTGCTTTCCCAGACTATAAGTGAGGAGCTGGATGGGACACAAACTGGTGCCCATATGGGATCCCAGTGCTAGTAAGGGGAGAATTAGCCAATTGAGCCGTTGTGTTGGGTCCAATTTTGTTTTTGTTTTTAAAATTTATCTTATTTTGGCACTGGAACAATGGTTTTATTGGCAAATCTGCCTGCAAATTCTGGCATCCCACATGGACACTGGTTTGTGTCAACTGCTCTACTTCCCATCCAGTTCCCTGCTTATAGCCTGGGAAAGCAGTGGAAGACAGACCAAAGTCTTGGAATCTTGCACCTGTGTGGGAGACCTGGAAGAAGCTCCTTACTCCTGGCTTTGGATCAGCTCAACTCTGGCCATTGCAGCCACTTGGGGAGTGAGTCAGCAGATATAAGAGCTTTCTCTCTGTCTCTCCTTCTCTCTGTAAATATATCTTTCCAATAAAAAATAAATCTAAAAACAAAATAAACTTGTTTTTTTATTTGAAAGGCAGAATTACAGAGAAGAGAAGCAGAGAGAGGTTTCTGCTTCTGGTTCATTCCCCAGATGGCTGCAACAGCTGAAGCTGAACCAATCTGAAGCCAACAGCCATGAGTTCCTTCTGGATCCCTACTTGGGTGCAAGGGCACAAGGACTTGGGCAATCCTCTGCTGCCTTTCCAGGGTATAAGCCAAGACTTGGATCGAAAGTGGAACAGTCGGGACATGAACTGACACCCATATTAGATGCCAGTGCTGCAGGCAGAGGCTTAGCCTACTGCCTCACTGCACTGGCCCCCACAGCTGGTGTTTCAACCATTGTTCATTCTGCAAGTGGTGGGTTAATGTGTTTTTCCATAATCCTGGCTACCACAACTAATCTTTAGCTGCTAGTCAATAGTTCTTTCTTTGTCATTGTGCCTCTGTGAGGCATAAATAGAACAACTCAGTAATCAACTCTGCTATCTTGGCAGTACTATTGTTTATATCTTTAAAATGCTTGGATTATTGTATGTCCAGGGCATTCTCCTTGAGCGGCACTTTTTTCCCCCTAGCTGGAAAACCTTTCACACCCAGGGAACTCTTAAGCAATTTAGTTGCCATCCGTATTACTACTAGGGACCCTCCGTATTACTACTCATAGTGCTCACTGGCCTCTTCCTTACCCATTGAGTAGTAAGAGAAACAGTCAAATCTTTGTCTTAACCATGGTTTTTATCAGCCCCCTCTCAGCAGCATTTGTGTTCATCTAAGTCCTTCCAGAATCATTTAAAATTGGTTGACAAGTGCAAGAGATTTATTGGAGGAAACATTGGAGAAACCAAGGGAACGAGGCTAACCAAGGTGAGGGGTCTCTTCAAGAATCAAAGCAGGACTGACCGTTGTGAGGAGAGAGGAAGGAGGGAGAACTTGCTTGGTAGTTTCAGAGTTCCAAGTTACTTTTAACCAGAAGTCCTCAAACCAAAATGTTCTGTGGGAGACAGCTCATATTAGTGAGACTGTCTCGTCTAGTTTTCACTAAGAGTTGATTACAGGACTCATGGCTTGGGTATGAATATTCTAGAGAAAGCTGAGGGTTAGCAGCTGAAGCCATCAATCAGTTTTGTTTTGCTATGGGCATTTTCGTGGCCGTACTCTGTAAGTCTCAAGACAGCTTTTAACAGCTGTGGTGGACTAAATCCTTCCAAGTTTAAATCCAGAAGAACACAGGCATCTTTGTCCCAGATTTGCTAGCCTAAGCCCCAGCTGACTTGACTTGGACCAGTTGAAGTCATGTGCCCACCCATGACCCAATTGCAGGGACTGGGGAAATTGCATGCTAGGGTTTGCTGAAGGCTGTTTTTCAGTGCTTCATTTCTAGGGTGGGAGCTGGAACCCCACCCATATTATAGAAACTAAGAAGCTGTGAAGGACTTATTCCCAAGCAAAAATATTCACACAAAGAATGTATGCGTTTTTAACTTTAAGAGCTACTGCTAGGTTAATTTTCACAGATGCCATAGCAGTTCACATTTCCACTGCGCCCTTTCCCCAACTATTCATCAAAAATATGTATTAGCTTTCTTTTTAAAGCTAGTCTTCCTGGTGTTTACAAAACAATAGCTTATTTTTACTTTAACTTAAAATTTCCTAGTTCTAACATTGAGAAAATTTCCCCCATGTAGCCATTGCCTACTTGCTTTCCTAGAGCCCATTTTCCTATTGTTTTTATTTTGGGACACTTTTCATGCATAGTTAGTAATATTCTGCCTGTTCGCTGACAAGGAAAACCTTGCATAGATCTCTGCACATATCTTCCCTTTCTGTATGTTTATTTGTAGTAATAGATCTGTAGTTCTTAGGGAACATTCTAGACTGTATGCCAGGAGTGCAGGAGACCACTCTCCATCGTTCATTTTTGAAAAAACACAGCAAGATAGACTGTGGGCAAGGGCAAGTCTTCACCTCCCCAAATATGCATTGGAGCAAGAGTGCTCAAATTTCATTCATCTTCAAACTGCCTTCCCAATTTTTGTCATATTCTTTAAACTGTGGTTGATTTGTAATACAGATTTTTTTTTTTAAAAAAGCTTATATTGTCATAATACTATCTTAACTACTAGTTGTGTTTTTATAATGCATGTTAAAATAAGTTCGTAAGCTCATAAGGTATTTTCCAATATATACTACAATAAATTCATAATTTTGAAAATAGGCTAGGCAAGTACGAAGTCAAGGCTTCACAGAGCTGAGGCTCTCACAAACTCGCCCCTCATCCAGAGACTCATTTTTAACTAAAGAAAGGTAGAACAAAGAGCTGTAACTGCTTACATGCCATCAAGTGTTAAAAATTAGATTCCAGGCTTTCCTCCAAAAGCAGTGGAGTAGCAGGGAAACGAAATGGGCTTTGGAGGGAAGTACAAACACTGTGATCAAGTCCAAAGGACTAACAGTACAAGGTGTTTGCGGCCAAGGAAACACAGTGTAGGCCAGGAGAGCTTTACAGACATCCTGCATTCTGACCAGAACATCAGGAATTCTAAAGTTCTATGGATTATGCTGGAGTCCAGGGCTCAGAAGGGGCCTTCTTAGGACTCGGGTCTACAATGGATTATGGTCCCTGAGTGGAGTCCTCCATTTCTACCTAATAGCCAGTCCCCATCACGTCCTCCCTGGCCGGAGTGACTGGGCCTCAAGGGCAATGTGCTGGTTGCGGGCATGGGGCCAGATATTCCTGCCAATTTTTCTCTCCCTTTTTCTCATCCAACTTCTTAGCAACGTCTCAGATAAGGGATTTCTCCACTTTCACAGCCACAGGAACTGGAAAGAAAAGCAATATTCAGTCGAAGATGGTGAGTGGAATTTACATGCTGGAATTTTCTTCTCAAATTCTTTCATTTGAAATAGGAAAAGTGAATTAAGACAATTTTAAGATATTTTTCTTCTTACTTTTTGCATGACTTAAAGCATATGAGGTTCTTACCTTGTATAAGCTGTTGCGTAAAATCCTAATTGAATTCTGTCTAATTGTCGTAGCTCCCCTTTCTTAGTGTTTTAAGGCCTTAGTTAATAAATTATTCATTATAATTTTTCTTAGTAACTAAATGTTTCAGTATGGAGGTTTCACTTGGATATCATATCTAACTAGGGAATTTAGAAATGGGGACCAGTGTTGTGGCATAATGGTTGGTTAAGCTACCATTAGTATTGCCATTATTCCTTAAGAGCTGTGGAACAAGTCTCACTGACCAGTCCACTGTGCAATCCAGCTCACTGCTAATGTGCCTGCAGGCAGCAGCAGATGACCCAAGTACTTGGGCTGCTGCACCTACGTGGGAGACTTGGATGGAACTCCTTGCTCCTAACTGGCCCAGTTGTAGCCACTGAAGCCATTTGGGAAGTGAACCTGGGGATAGATGATCTCTCCCAAAACTCTGCTCTCCCTCTCTCTGTAACCCTGCCATTCAAATAAGTAAAAATATCTTTTAAAAAAAGAAATGTTGAAATGTTAAATCTTGCTGAGTTGAATTCATGATCTTTGAAATACATCTTATGGTATCCTAAATGAAAACAAAGAGGCAGAATACAGATAGACACTGAATTATGTGGACAATGCTCTGTAAAGCACATGGTTGTGAATGCTATCTGATTTCCAGAGTATAAAGAATGCTAGTTTTTATAAGCAAACTAATCTTCTTGATTAAATCCAGACCCGCAGCTCTCAACTTTTCCCTGAAATAAGAATCTCCTTTGAGGAGTGGTGATAGGGGATTGAGTCAAAACATCTAGGTTGTTTCCTCTGGTTTCATTCTCCCACCCCCATAGATTATTCTTTCAAGTTTTTAATTTGTTTGAAAGGAAGATAGACAAAGGGGTGTCTCATGTGTTGGTTCACTCCCCAAATGCCTACAACAGCCAGGGTTCAGCCAGACTGAAGTCCGTAACTGGAATGGATTCGGAATCTCCCACATGGATTGCAGAGACCCAAAGTTCCCGCACCTCTACCTGCTGCCTCTCATCATATGCAATAGTAGGAAGCTGGAAATGAGAGAGAAGGTGGGACTCGAACCCAGGCACTTTAACATGGGTGTGATTGTCCCAAGTGATATCCTAACTGCTCTGCCAGATGCCCAACTCAGGTTTCTCCTACTCTTAAGTGCTTGGTCACCCCAGTACATACTTCAAGATAATGTTGCAGTGCCATCCTGGCCACTTTGTTCCCTGAGGTGGCACGCAAGCACAAAAATAAACCCTTCTTCTTGTTCCTTAGCAAAATGGAGCTAGAATGGAATTTTTTCCATGGCTTTATTAAAATACCAAAGAAAAACACAATTAGCAAAAGCAAAGCTCAAGAATCATCAGTAATGTGAGCTAGTATTGAAGGACTGTTCCTCCTGGGGCTCACGGACCATGATGCCTGTTTCTGCAGAAGCAGCTTATTTTTGCCTGGGAAGCTTGCTGGTCACTTGTCACTGATGGTCGGTACCCTTTTGCACTTGCATTCAACTCTCACACCTAACAAGAATATGATTTCTGACCCTTCCCTGAGATCCTTCCCCGAATCCTTGCTTGTGCTGAGGGGCAGCGATACACAGCACTTTGCAAAGGCGGCACGTCAAGTAAAGCCTCCTCCTAAGTGAGTTTCTTTCATACGCAGGGCGTTGAGCTCTGATATTCACTGACATTTGAGAGCTTAGTAATAAATACTCAAGGGATATGTTTCCAACTTAAATAGGAGTTTCAGTTAAGTCTTTTCAAATATCTAATAAACGAATAAAAAAATACTGAAACCCAGAGATTTTTTTTTTTACCAGAAGGAACCAGACAACAAAGCGGCATAGTCCAAAAAGCAGATAGCAACCAAAGAAAGAAATGGATAATGCTGGATCCAAATGAAATAGCAGAGTGCTACGCAGCTCCAAATGCAACCACTGCCCCTAAAAGTAGCTACTGAGCCACCAAAGTCAAAGCATTATTCTCTAATATTCCCACTCTGGAGAGGAACAATTGAGTGGGTGTCCTAGTCTGATTGAGCAGGGGAAATGCCCCCCCGAGGAGAAGTGAGTGAAATAAGATCCCAAATAGAGGACTTGATGCAATGCAGGTTCCTGAGCTGTACACTAAATTGGAGGGCAGATCTGGAGTTCCAGGAGACTAGCTTCATGGAAATGGGAAGCACCTCTAATCGCCTAGGGCAGAACTTGGCATTCAAAAGTGACAAAAATCTCAAAAAGAGACAGTAGAGCCAGTTATTCTAGCAAAATGTGGCCCACCTGAGTTCTTCTTCCTTGTCAGATGCTGAAAAGAACCAAATGAATGTCACAGAGCTGTATCTTCCTTGAGCAGAAGAAAAATCTCCGGGGCAGTGGTGACTGGCAAAGTGATCATGAGCCCATCACCGCTGTGTCAGAGCAAGTGGGAAGTCTGAAGAGAGCTGTCCACGCATACATAGCATGAAAATAAACAATACAGCAACTACGCAGATACTACAAGCGAATCATGAAATAAGAGCATATGGAAAAATACTGAGAAGAAAACTCAAAGATAGGTGAACATTTTCTGACAGCTGCATTGAGAAGTAAATGAGCTATAGACTCAATGAGATAAATCTCAAAGTCAAGAGGGTAAGCTATTACACTGAGGTGAAAAGGCAGATTGCTCTAGAGAAATACGTAGAAGGCCCAATAACTTCAATATGAGTGAACTTTCCAACTTTTCTGTTTGATTTGTTTATTTCTGCTAACAGTGAACACACCAGGAATATTTGTCACACAAGGTATTAAATTTTTTGTTGTTATTTATTATTGGAAAGACAGATTTACAGAGAGAAGGAGAGACATAGACGAAGATCTTCCATGTGCTGGTTAATTTCCCAAATGGCTACAATAGCCAGGGCTGAACCAATCTGAAGCCATGAACCTGAAGCTGCTTTGGGTCTCCCACATGGGTGTAGGATCCCAAGGCTTTGGGCCATCCTCCTCTGCTTTCCTGGGTCACAGCAGGGAGCTGGATTAGAAGTAGAACAGCCAGGACACACACTGGTGCCATATGGAATGATCCTGCGGCAAGGTGGAGGATTAGTCAGTTGAATCTTTGTGCCAGCCACTGCCAATATTAAGTTTGAAAAAAGAAAAGTTTCAAAAGGAGAGAGAAGGTATAAGAAAGAAAATGACGGAAAATTTTAAAGAAAATCTTTAAAGGTTTAAAACTAGAACATATAGGCTAAAAAAGCTGTGCTACAAAAGCAAAGACAAAAACATCTTGAAGAGTTTAACACAGACTATGTCTGAAAAAGATACTAAAAAAATATTATCCAACAAAATGAAAGATGAAACTAAAAAGTAAATATGTGCTTCAAAAAAGATTGGTAAGCAGAGAAACTAATAAAGCTTAGAGGTAATGCTAAATGACTATGTTAATAGCAACTTAAAATAACAACAGTGTAATAGTCATTAACAACTGAACAATTGCAATTATAATTTCATATGACTACTTCCTGAGATGTAACATTGGGAGAAAGTGGAGAGAGTAAGACATATTAGGATTATTATGAAAGTAGAGAATGTAGAAATGATTAAACTTTGATAGAAAGATGTACATATACTATCTTTAAAATTTTAAAGTAACACCTTTAGACTAGAAATAATTTCACTAGTGGAGGAAATAAAGAAACAACAAATGTACAAGTGCAAAAAGATTCTCCTTTCAAGTTGAAAAAGAAAGGCAAAAACATTAATATTGTATAAAATATGACTAAGTTATAAACTATTAAATAGAATGATATTTCATATTAACATATAATGCAGTATGCCAAAATGATGCTTTGTGAACATTTATTCATCCATTGTAGGTTTGAAATAGAAAATTTTAAAGCTGATAGAAAGTTAAAAGTGGACGGATTCAAAAGAACATGAATTCACTTCACATGCCTATATAAAAATCAAGAGATTAAATAAATAGAATATAAAGGTACAGCTAAGAACAGATAAAATCTAAGATTTTCCCTCTTAACTGTACTTGAAAAGAGAGTTCCCCTTAGCTGTGCTTGAAAAAGACTTATTATTAACCCATTATAATCCAATCTAAACAATATTTTTGCTTTGTTGTGTGGCATAGCATATTATTGATGTTGGGCACGTGTAGACCTTTGAAATTGCGATCTTTCGTGGGAGAAGCAAACATAACAAGATGAAGGATGGACGAATGGCAGAGCAGTTTTTTGAGCATGGGTAGAGGAAGTGGAATCAATAATTCAAGAAGACACAGAACAGCATTGCAAAAGTCACAAAAATGTAATCAAGACAAAAAAGCAAATATGAAAACATTAGACAATTAGGGTGAGAAATGTGGTACTTGACGATACTGTGGAACTAGCTCATAAGAAAGCATATTGACCATGTAGCATTGATTTTCCAATTAGAGCAACAATGATTACTGTGGCGATCTCTGGCTAATTATACAGATGCTCAATCCAACCTACTGGTATGAAACCAAATCTGGCCATTCACAGAAACGATGTGTTGCAAAGAGAACTTCATTTCCACGGTGGGTTTTTTTTTTCCCTCAAAAAACACATCTAACTATAACAGTTATGGGGAATACATCTGACAAATCCAAATTGAGGGATAGCCTACAAAATAACTGACCAGTATTTCTCATGATTGTCAAGGTCATGCAAAGCAAAGAGACCAAAAAACTGCTTCAGATCAGATGAGACATGACAATTAAATGCAATATAATGGGATTTTGGAATACAGGATTAGTATTAAAATTATAAAATCACAATAAGAAAAAGTAATACACCAAGGCTGGTTTCTTAGTTTTGACAAGAGTACCATAGACCATTGTTAGATCTTCACAACAAGAAACTGAGTGACACGGAAACAGGAATGCCTTGTATAATGCTTGCAATGGTTCTACAAATCTGGAATTTTTCCAAATCAGAAATGTTAGTTCACAGGAAATAAGCTATGGGAGGCGGGTTGGAGAATTCTGGAGAAGGAGGACCAGACCCAGGCTGTTTGTTTCTCTGCTCCGGCCTCTTGAGATGAACCTGCAGCCAGCGACCCAGGACGCAAGCGAAGCATTCCCCTTTTCTTTTCTTCCACTCAAGTTTCCCATGGAACTTCAAGGACATTTGAAGTAACACTCAATAGGATTGAATTTGAAAACTGAATTGTAAGTTTCTTTTCATAGCCAAATCAGATCCACATCCAGTCAAACAACTTGAAATGAAACAGAAAGGTCTGACCTTTCCCACAGAGCTTGTGTGCTCTCTCCCCAAATTAATAAAGTGATTTTATTGTTACTATATCATGAAACAACCAGACCATTAACTCCATTAATTTATTCAAGAAGATGTTAATCCATCCAAATGTTTTTCCCCACAAACTCAGTTTTCAATCTAGAACATTTATATACAAATGATACTATTTCCATTTATTTTACAAAACAGAATAATGAAATTGAAATTGGAAACATTTCGAGGAAGTTTTCAAGATTTTCTGGTAAAACAGGCAAAGGAATTGCTTTTCTTATTTTATATTTAAAGGACTAATTAGTTAACTAGGAATTTCTTGGCATACCAGGCTGAATAACAAATAATGTTGTTTTAAACATATGGAGATGTTGCCAATTTTTTTTCCTGTATTTTTATTTAGAACTTGTGTTATCTAAGTTGAGTGATGCCATTTCATGTATTTCTAAGTAACAGGAGAAAATTAGGAGTTGGAATGTAAACACTGTCTTTGAGGAAAATAGATATATGAAAACAATAAAGCAAAATGCTGGGGGATGGATGAATATGACTGTGGCAGGAATGACTAAATAAAATGGATTTTTATATAAAATCGAGCAATTAAGCTCACTTTTATGTAAAATTGAGCTTTGGTTTTACATTTTTGTAAATTTTTTTTCTTGTAGCATGTTCTCAACAGAAAAATTGTCAGTCGTGCACACAGGATAAGAAAGTAAGTTAACTTTCTTGTGAGGAAATTGTTTCAGAGATGTTATAAAATCGCACAATGTACAGTGTCATCCAAAAGATGCTAAACTTTGCTAACACCATCTTAAATAATAAGAACGAGTGACATGGTTAAGATCTATTTTTAGCATTTCAAACCAATTTTGAGGATCTGGAAATTAATTATGGAAATAATTTTGTGCAGATATGTACTTCCTTCTAGAAAATTATGCCTAAAAGAGAAAAACTCTTTGCTTGAAAAATTACGCTGAAGTCTTAGAAGGAATGTTTGTAAGAAAAATATACGCTTCCTGAGATGCAAAGTGTTTCTTTGTCACTTCTCATCCCTCCTGGCTGGGAAGAGCGACTCACTGTTGCTCAGCCACCGTCTAGTTGGGCTCCCCTCTCTGGTGATTTCATATCTGACTTCCTTATTCTTCCCTTGAGATTTTGGAGCAAAAGGGAGTACCATAAGGACTGAGGGCAGAGAGCTTTATATGATCCTTATAAACCCTTTCATTTTGTTTGAAAATATATTTTACATAGTTAATGTGTCTCTAATACCACAAATTCATGATTATACCTTAAAATGAGCAATAACTACTCAATGTCATTAAGCACCCTAAAAATAACCAATTTGTGTTATTTTTTTCATGTTTTGTGCGTGAAATCATATCCGTATGTTGCAGTCGGTTGATACACATCTTAAATATCTACTCATCTTTATATTCCTTCTTTTTTGTTGTTAATGCTACTTATTTATTACAGAGACTGAAGTGTGTGTCACTGCATTTCCTATAGTCTGAATTTTGCTGGTCATATCCACATGTCTGTAATGACATTTATCATGTTCTGTTACTGTAAACAGGTAATTACATATAGACATGTGATCAGATTCAGTGTAAAGTTGGGTGGCAGGAATACTTCATGTTGAGCCCTTTCCTTAGGAGGCAAATCAGGGCTATTGTCTAGTACTTGGTGATATTACTACCAGGGGAATTCTTTACCTTGAAAATTGAAAAAAAAAATTGACCATTTTAATAGTCTGACTTTTAAAAAAAATTAATGGATACTTAAGACGTTGCATATTTAGAAAGTGCCATTATGATCTTTGTGGATGTTTAAAAATTATTTTGTAGAGATAGACAAACACACATGATAGAAAAACTTCCCATCTGCTGGTTTACCCCTCATGTGCCCACAGGGCTTGGGTTGGGCCAGGGCAAAGCGAGGAGTCAGAAACTCCATCCAGATCTCCCATGTTGGTGTCAGAAACCAATCATCTGAGTTTTCACTGCTGCCTGCTAAGGTACATATTAACAGGAAGCTAGAATGAGGAGCCTGAGGCAGGACTCAAACACAAGCATCTCAGCTGGTGTCCTAACTGCTGGCCAGTGCCTACTACTGCTTGTTTGTTTTGTTTTGTTTTAGACAAGGAAATATACAGTATATTAATATTAGCTATAGTTATCTTACTATGCATTAGAACCCCAGACTCTAAGTCTAATGGAATAGCTGTTAATCAACCTTGCCTCATCCCTTTTGCCCTCACTGCTTTCTTTTAATCACCTTTGTATTTTTAACTTCTGTAAGATCACCATCTCTTATCATGAGAGAGACCCTGTGACACTTGTCTTTCTGTGCTTCTAGTCCATCCACACTCTTGCAAATGACAAGCTTTCATCCTTTGCTTTTTATGGCTGATAAGTGTTCCATTGTCTTTATCCACCCATCGGTTCATGGACGTTTGAGTTTTTTCATTTCTTAGCTCTTGTGGGTAAGGTTGCAGACAATATGTTCTTGAGTAGACTGATGTCATTTCTCTTGGTGTCTACCCACGGGTGGGATGGTTGGATCACATGGTAGCTCTGTTTTTGGCTTCTTGAGGAACTTCCATAATATTTTCCACAGTGACTGCAGTCTACCCAGGTTCCCCTTTGTCCACGTCCTCATCAGAACTCACTGTTTTGTCTTTTGATAGTAGTCACTACACCCTTGTGATTTTGGTGTTGCATTTCCCTGGTAGTGATGAGGGGAGCATTTCTTCATGTATGTAGCATCCATTTGTAAGTAGCCCTTTGAAAAATGTTTAGGTATACTGTCCAAAATTTTTTAGCTGTATTATTTACTTTTATATTAGTGAGTTTTGAGAGTTTCTCTATTTTCATGAGCTTTTTGAAGTTTTGTGTTGTAGGGTTTTTTTTATTGCAAAGCCAAGATTTTGATATATTTATTAGATACATCCTCCCTCTATTTCTATCTCATTATGCTTTCATGTTTCTCTTTTTTTTTAAAAAAATATGGGGAATGCTTATTATGGGCCGTTTTTATAGCAATCTTTGCCAACACCTGAGCTGCATATTGGCATGATTTTAAGGATCAAGTTTTCTTTGAGAAGTTTAAGACTAACCATCAAGTTCTAGTTCCCTCACTTTTCTTCTGAACCCGTGTACTGTCTTTTCACTTATATTCTCTTTTTTCAGAAGTCTATTTTCATTGCAAGGATATCCCATTTTGTATCATATTCAGAAATACCTGCACAGTCACAAATTCAAACTTAGCATTCTCTCTCTCTTTTTTTACTTGACTTCTTTCATTTTGAGTTCACATAATGTGGGGTGGAAAAAAACCAAAAACCTTATTTTTATTTGCAGGTTTATTCAACAGTTATGTTGCTGTCTTGTCTCAGAGTGCTGTTTAATCCTTAGCAAACTGATTTGGAGGTAGAAAAGACGCTCCATAATTAAATGTAATGACTTTTGCAATTAACCACTCAGTGCTTCTGAAAATTTACTCCTTCCTTGGTGATCTTGACTTTATACTCTGCCTTCCTTCTTCCATTATCATTTCTGTTTTCTTTGCTAATTTTAAATATTCCTGGTCTCTCATATGGATCAAGCACTTAAGCCATCCTTGGCTGCTTTCCCAGGCATGTTAGCAGGGAGCTAAGTTGGAAATGAAACAGCTGGGCTTGGAAAAGGCACCCAAAAGTATTTTTAATACAGTGACCTCAGCCAGGTATTATCTCATCTACAGTTAGAGTGTGTTAGTAGGAAGCTAGATCAGAAATGGAGCAGCCAGGACTTGAATCAGTGTCCATATGGGATGCTGGCACTGCAGGTAGTAACTTTACATGCTATACTACAGTGTCAATCCCAGTATCCATATCAAGCTAAAAAAAAAAAAAAAGCTAGACTTATTATTTTGCTTTTCCTGAAAAAGTTCTTTTTCTTTACTTCTTTATTTTGTCCCATTCTCTCAGACCCACAAATCTAAAAATCTCTCGTTCCTTTCTCTTCCCTTCCCCCCATCTGATGTCCATTGTTTCAATTGAAACAATTAACTTTATATACTTCCCCCTCCTGCTTCCTTTCCTAGTCTTTTCCTGATGCCTTGTTCATTATTTTAAACTAGCACTTTTATCATGTTACCAATTTTTTGACTCCCAGTTGTCAAGACAAAACACAAAATACAAACTCCTTACTTGGGCTGCAATTCCAAAGCCCATTGTAATCAAGGGAAGTTTACCTTCCAAACTATTCCACAGAGCTCCACCACGACATGCTTCCATTCTTGCCATGTGAATGTGTCCCCTGTCACTCTGCCATAGACCATCTGTCTGGGGACTTCCCTTTTTCTGTATAGATTTTGCACGTTTCTTAAGATAACCAAAATCTGTCATTTCCTGAAGGAACTCTTACAGAGTTATTCCCACTAGATTTGATACTTTTTTTTTTGCCGCTATTACATTTTGTATCTCTCCCACTAATTTTCATGTTATGATCATCTTCCATTTGAAGATCTATATTGTTGCTTGTAATTCTGAGCCTCCAGAAAGCAGAAGCAGTGCTTTAAACGTCTGCATGAACTGCTTCATCTAGTCTGTGTCCATAAATGCCATTGAAATAAATGCTGCTCTGCTCTTTCATTGCTCGCTGCTTTCCAAAAGCCCCTTGCACAGTAGCATTCATTTTCTACATTTATGCCAACACAAGATTAAACCATCCTATAGAATGCTAGCAAGTCATGAAATATTATCATGTACCTGTACTCTGCCTTTTCCCATGTTCATGGCATTTTCTTATTAAGACTGAGTTCTATCCTAAAAATGTGTACTCAGGCTTTCCCACAGAGCAAAGGTGACCATCCCCTTGAAGCCTGTAGTTGGCTTCTCAGTTGTCACACTCCTGAGGCTGAAGTTAGTAAGACTTTATATTTTTATATGTCATCTTTCTTTGCTATAAGAAAAAAAAATTCCACATAATTTGTCTTAGATCATGTATTACCAACTTGGGGATGCTGAATATATTATACTGTTCTTTTGGGCAATGTGAGTTCTGGTCTTTGAAGACTTTGGGAAGTCGGGTGGTCTTGGCTCTATGCACAGCAGACTCTCCAAGGATGTCATGTTCTCATTTCTCTCGTTCATCTCCTAACTATGCCTTTCTCTGTGTACTGACCTCATTTTCTCCTCAAGTAAGTGAGCATTCTCCACACACTGTGGAAAGGGCTGACTGCCAAGAGATTGAGCGCACCACTCCAAAACAGATTCAGATCGGCCCTATTGGGCTCTTATGTCCAATTCAGTACTAGTTACTGGGCCAGGAGGGTAGGCTACCCAGCTGCTAATGCCTGGATCAAATGAGCACTCCAGTAGCAGGAGAGGGCTGTGGGAAAGCTGACTGACATCTGCAGAACCACACAGAGTTGGTGGAATGGATCCACAAAAGAAGAAAGCATGATCACCAGAAAGATGATGATGTGAGACACACAGGTAGACATTTTAAAAATTACCTCTGTCGGTGTACTTCACTTTACCATTGGCATGTGTATTCTGTTTCCTCATCCCAACATTTTAAAAAAGCTTCTGCCAAAATAATGCAAGTAGCCTTCAACTGAATTTGTACTTATGTAATGTCAGTGTCAGCTCTTGGCCTGGGCTCCAAGTCTAAAGTCTCACACAAATGAGCATTATTTTGTGTGTGTTTGAATGTAGCTCCTCACACTCCTTCAGGTCAGCCGTGTACTCAATTAAAGCAATCCCCAAAGATCCACTATTCAACAGAAGAGAGAAAGCGGTGTATCAGCATTTAACATTTCCATTTTAAAAAGAATAGGGTAGCCTATGGTTCTGTAATGTATTCTGTGTCTATAATATGTTGAGTTTCCCTGACTAAGCAATGAGCTGTTGGTTACCGATCTGGCTGTCTCAGGCTTGGCCAAAGGAAGCACCTCCCTTTTCCATGGCTCTCTCAGCTTGTAGCAAGAAAGAGGCATAGGAGAGAACACCTTCTAGGGACTGCATGGCTTTAGGAGATCATCTGCTTGGACGTGGTCGCTGGGGCCCGAGAGCCAGCTTAGCAACTGAGCAAAGAGCAACCTGTCTCTATTGGATTCTGGCAATTTATCTTCCTTAAAATTCTTCCAGCTGCTGTGAACCTGAGTCACAGAAATTCTGAGAATGAATAACTAGGGACAGAAGTCTGTGGGTTATAGTCCTTGGATCTCAGTCTTACCTTTGCATTTCCAGTTCTCAAGCAGCAGTCACACAGCACATAAACCATCCAGCTTCTGGTGGCCTTTGACCTTGGCTAAGGTGAAAACAAAAAGCTGTTCTTAGGCAAGGTCAAAGGCGTGGTCACTATCTCTGCTTTTTTTCAGGATGCATCTCAAGAAGTGATTGGCGGGTATCTGAGATCTACTTTATGGGATTTATTACCAACACAGAACCAGGCTGCTTTGGTTGGAACACAAGCTCCCTATTTCATAGATATGTGATCATATCATATAAACCATTGAACTGTCCTTGCCCATATAGTGCTTCACTGTCCTTGCCTGAAAGTAACAGAAATTAACAGAATTTAGCAACAGCGCCCATATGGACTACTGGTACTGTAGGGAGCTGAAATGTTTTGAGTTTTGTTTGCTAAATGCAGAGACTGAGAAAGGGGTTCAGATGCATGTGATGTTTGAGTGGCTGTTCTTCAGCATTATCTCAAAAAGGAATGAGGGATCCAGGGAAGATACAAGAGCCCCCGCCCCCCAAAAAAGGTTAGGTCTTGGCTCAAGCTATCCATGGCCTGAAGCAGGGGTAGCCCTTGAGTCAAAGGTGCATTGTTTTGGAAATCTGTACCAGTCACTGACCTAATGGGTAGTAGCAGAACAGGAAGATGGCCCTGACCCACTAACAACAGTCATTCAAGAAGAGGGGAATGAGTGGGGTGGCCAGCAACCACTGTGTGTCAGGGTTGGGCACATGAGCCTGGTGAAGGGCTGGGCTGGCCACCAATGTTATCGACTTCAGATAACAATAAAAAATGGTGATGTTGATAACCGCTTTTGCTTAATAATAGTTATGGAAGCACTGAAAATGTACTGAGGTTTTATTGTTATGCTTGAACGCTGCTTTTATTTTTTTCTTTTCAAATATAGTGTGTTTGGTGCAATGAAGACAGGATCTGCAAAAAATATTGTTTTCCACATTTTCATTGCCGAATCAGTGCTGCCTATTGGACAAACTGTAAAAGTGAGTTTTCTAATTTGAATTTTGTTGTGCTTTATTTCAGTTGACTAGGACTAGAAAATGATAATTGTTTGAGCTGTTTAAAGGATTGAAACGTATTACATTTGCTTTACAAAACTGTAGCAAGTTCAGGATTATTCATCGGTGTTTCTCCCTGATCCAGGCAAATTGCTTGTTTGCAGACAGTACTGGTTCACATCAAATCCACAGTTTTGAGTAGCGCATGCTTTGCCATTCTACTGGTTAAAATACCTTTAATTTCATCTGTAACATTCTCTTGGTTAGACTGTCCATAACTCAGGTTAGACGTGTATGTTCTTACACTGCTTTAGAAGTCCCTGGAGGTTCCTGTGCACTAGTCCTGGTCTGGGGATATATTGAGATCAGGAGCTCTACTAAACAGCTCTATCTCCTCAGCTAATATGTGCCAGCCTGAGAATTGGCATTCCGAATGACACGTACCGAGGACAGGAAAAACATTAAATTATCCCTGAGTTAACTGTATTTGTAATAGACTTTTGGCATGCCCTGTTTTACTTACCAAGGTGGGTAAATGTACTCATATTTTAAGGAGATTTCCCAAGAAGTGGAAGCAAAAGGCTTTCCAGCTGAACTTGACCTGAATGAGAAACCCAATCTAGAACCACTAGTTGATTTATCTCTTCCTTGAAGTGAAAAGATGCAATTTGCCTTCAAATTCCTGTTTGTTTCGTTTAGTGTCAGTTACTTAAGTTGTCTGTTTTTGCAGCTTAGAAAGCAGGGAAGAAACTGTGCCCTTAACTCGTGTTTTCCCCTTTTGGTTTCACTTGATAATATTCCATGGCATTCTGAGGGAGAATGTCTTAGAAACCTGCCTTCCCAGCAAGCTCTGGGTTCTCTCCTTGATAAAGAACTTCTGAAATACAAACATCAAACCATTTCTTGATATCTATATGTGTCCTCAAAGAAATGGCAACTTAAGGGATCTGAGGTTTTATTTTTGTGAAAAGTATGCATTTTAGGGCTTGGGGAAAAAATAAGCCAGTGATCCAATAGAGTGCCCCTTGGAGACAAAGGACTCAATAATGCTTGCTTCCAGTAACCCGGATTACCAGTGATAGTGAGAGTGAACCCAGATGCTGGTGGTAGTTATTTAATGAAAATCCTGTTGGAATAAATGATGAATGCTATTGTGTCATTTCTAGTAATGATTTGTGAGTGTGCATTTAAAAATCAAACTGCATGATACTAGAAACAGTAAAACTATAGGACAGCAGTAACGGTCTGCGTATTTCCTTTCCTGTTTCAGTTGACGTGTTTGGAATCCTGATGCTTGCCCTTATTGCGGTGTTAGTTGTGGTGCTCCTGTGGTACTGCTGTGCCTATCACCTTTATATGCAACAGTAAGTTCATCTTATTCTTCATCAGCATGTACTTGGCAATAACATCAGTAGCAAGAGTGCTAAGCTAGTTAGTAGAAATGCTTACCTCTTTATGTAATAAAAGATATTTATATGTTAAGGAGAAAAAGTCAAAAAAGCACAGACAATTATAAAAAATGAAAAGGTTTAACATTCCTCTCCCTACCCTCCCCCCAACCTCTGCTACTTGCCTCCCAGAAGTAATCTTGTCGGTCTGATTTTGTTCGTCATTCTTTTGGCTGCCTCCATTGTAATTAAACCAGATGGCTGTATAAACATACCAAGAAAATGCTTGAGAAAGAAGTTTTTAAAAGTTTTTTGAAAGTTGAGATAACAGCGTTATTACAAAGGTGTATATAATCAATTTCCATTGATAATAAAATTGTGGTGTAATATATTGATATGAATATATACTAGTGTTGATATAATACAGATAATATTATAATTACAATTTTAAGAATCAAAAGATAAGTTTATTTTGGCACAAAAATTTTAAAAGCTACATACATGAAGAATCTATAACAAGTTTATGGAAAATATATATTATGGAAAAGCTATATGTGGATTTCAAAACTTTTTTGCCACAAACTTTAATTCCATGGTTCCATGAACTTTTAAATTAACCTCAGCTCTTCTCTTGATTAGCATTAGGTATGATTTACTGACTGCCCATCATGAAAGCCGAATATTTTTCTCCCAATGTGCTTTTTTTCTGTTATTTTAAAAAAAGAAAATTCAAATCCCTTTATTTCCTTCCATCTGCTCTCTCTTCGCTCTGTTTCATAAACTCTGTATCTTTCTCAGTAATTTGACCTTACCAAGTGAGTAACATTTGTATTCAGTGCCATGACTATAATTACGTTCTAAAATGCTAATTCTGTAGTATGGGTCTAAAATTGTTCAACGGGGGCCTGGTGGCGTGGCTAGCGGCTTAAGTCCTCGCTTTGAACACACCGGGATTCGATATGGGCGCCGGTTCCAATCCCGGCTGCTCCACTTCCCATCCAGCTCCCTGCTTGTGGCCTGGGAAAGCAGTCGAGGACGGCCCAAAGCTTTGGGACCCTGCACCCGTGTGGGAGACATGGAAGAAGTCCCTGAATCCTGACTTCGGATTGGCGCAGCACCAGCCGTTGCGCTCACTTGGGGAGTGAATCATCGGACGGAAAATCTTTCTCTCCTCCTCCCCTCCCCTCTGTATATCTGACTTTCCAATAAAAATAAAATTAATCTTTAAAAAAAATAAAATAAAATTGTTCAACTGCTGAAGAGACTAAAGCATGTCATGACTGTGACGACTGCTCACCTGAGAACCAGGATGGAAGTGGAAGGTTTACGTCCACATTCCTGTGTTTCTTGGAAGAGAATTCTCAAGTGTCAAGATCACTTGGATTCTTTCGTTAGCCTCCGTAACCAAAAACCATGCAGTATGGCAACTCATTTTATGTTTATATCATAATTTTGCTATCTAGACTTTGCACTAAAGATTTACATTATCCCCGTTGTTTTTGCTAATAAATACACAAGCATATTTACTCTCATCACTGTTCACTCATCTTTTTATTTTTTTAGAGATTCATTTGTTTTTGTTGGAAAATGAGATTTACAGAGAGAAGGAGAGACAGATTTTCAGTTAGCTGGTTTACTCACCAAGTGGCTGCAGTGGCCAGAGCTGAGCTGATCTGAAGTCAGGAGCTAGGAATTTGAAACTTCTTCCAGGTCTCCCACGTGGGTGCAGGGTCCCAAGGCTTTGGGCCGTCCTCGACTGCTTTCCCAGGCCACAGACCGGCAGCTGGATGGGAAGCGGGGCCACCAGGATTAGAACCGTCACCCATATGGGATCTTGGTGCATGCAAGGAAAAGGACTTTGGCTGATAAGCTATTGCACTGGGCCCTGTTTTATCTGTAATTTTAAAAAGAATCTTTGAATGCTGCATACAAACATAATTCTAATCAGTTATGTGTTTTTGAAGATTTGTTTTATTTTTATTGGAAAGTCAGATACATAGAGACAAGGAGAGAGAGAGAGGAAGATCTTCCGTCTGATGATTCACTCCCCAAGTACCGACTTTGGGCCATCCTTGACTGCACAAAAAGGGAACTGGATGGGAAGTGGAGCCAGCGGGACTAGAACCGGCACCCATATGGGATCCCGGCACATTCAAGACGAGGATTTTAGCCGCTAGGCTACCACGCCAGGTCCAAACCAGTTATGTTTTAACTGAGCTTTTTGACCACCATCTCTTTTTGAAATATGTCTTGTTGAGATCTTCTTGACCTTGTTAATTCAGTGAGTGCCATATTCTGGCAGAGGGATTTGTCCTGTTAGGGACTTACCATATTCACAATCTAACAATCCATGTTGGATTATAGAAACATCAGGATTTCTTTTTAAAGATATCATATGGCCAGTGAAGCATCTTATTGCTGGCTGTTGCTTTTGGCCCAATATCTAGTTATCCTGTGGATATGACTATAAAAGTATAACACATTTTAAAGTGGTAAATGTTAGAGAACAGAAATGTTTAGTGGGCTGTGTCCTCACCGACTCCTCCCCTCTCAGCTACTCTTTTGGCAGGTGCTTATTGTTTGTTACACTCTAGGGGTATTAAGGTAAAAAGAAAGATCAGATCCTTGCCTTCATGGAGCTTACCGTTCTACTAAAGAGACACAGTCAAGTCAACCAGCAATTAATTTTATTGCTAACTTATTAATAGTTGAAATGATATGCAATTACTGTAGTTGTTTCTTCTTCTTTTTTTAATAGATTTTATTTATTTATGTAAAAGTCAGAGTTACAGAGAGAAAGAGACCTCCCATCTACTGTCTCCATATGGCTGCAGTAGTCAGGGCCGGGTCAGGCCAAAGCTGCGGGAGCTTCCGTAGGTCCCCATGTCAGCGCTGGGTCATTTGTTGCTTTCCCCGAGCCATTTGCAAGGAGCTGGATTGGGAGTGAAGTAACCAGGACCGACTGGCATCCGTGTGGCGCTGCAGACAGTAGCTTTATATGATACATCACAAGTGACTCAATTGTATTTTTCTTAATCAAAAGCTTTAATTCTAGTGAGTAGATAAAAGGAAAAAAGTCAAGAATAGTAAAATAATGCACTAATATGTTCTGTTTAGTGAAATAAAAATAATTCCAAGTATAATCTTAACTATTTCGAAAATACATCTAATTCTATATTCATCATCATTTTGAACAGACGTCAAGCCTATTTTTATGGAAGAAATGAACCAATTCATGTTCACAACTGGGATGCTGGCAAGTGTTTTCATTTACTTGATAAGTTGTCTCATGCCTTTTCAGCGATTAACAGCTGGAAATCTTTCCCTTACTTATTGCAAGCATCGTAACTGAAGATCAGGTGGGAAACACAACAATGGACTTCATCTTTGTCTCTAAGATGCACATTTGTAACCTCAATAGCTCTCCTAGGAATGGTAAAACACACTTCTGGTAGAGAAGAGTTAAAAATTTCCAACTCAGTTAGGGATCTAACAGCTTACCCTGTTCTCTCCGTTCCCATTCCATAAACTGAACTCAACAAAAAGTGGCCATTGCTTTAAGAAACCCTTGCAGGCTTTTTCTGAATTGATTTCATAGTTACTTGGGTGACCTCTAGTTCCAGTCTTGTTACTTTGATTTTTGAAACTTTCTTTATTTTACAAGGGTCCCACTTAGCAATGCTCATATGTTGATTTCCTTTAGCTCATCATCCATAATTCCTGGGAGTTTTTTCCTTCCCCACTGTTCTTCCCAGGATTGAATCCTGGAACCCAAATGAGAGTCAAACCATGGCCCCTTGCTTAATGAATAATTGGAGCACTAAAATGATAGATTGGAATAATATGGCTGGGGAAAGGGTACTACAAGATTCTTTATAATTATTGTTAAACATAACTTTGAGGATATAGGGACAGATTATCTAGTGCTTAGGCCTGTGGGGACAGGCCAAGAGGATGTGGCGAGGCCTGAAAGTCAATCCTTGAGGCACTAATATCTGAAAAAGGAGCAGCAGAAGCCCCGAGGGGCGAGCAGGAGATGTGAAGCACATACACGTGCAGACTCCTTGCCAACTCTGTAGTTCTTGTTTTGTAGAAACTGCTTTACTGGTAATGGGATCACGAGGTGTTTCAGCAAGCTATTTCAGAGGGAGCTGAAGTGCGGGGTGATGGCGGCTGCTTCCCAAGTTTGAAATCAGACCGGAAGACTACCGAGAGTGATGCTGCATTTCGGTTGTTCTCCTGTTTTAAATTCCACTGCATGGTGTTCTAGGAGAAAGTCTTTGAAAAGAACACAAGGTTGAGTATTTATTTTAGGTAGAAGCAGTTATATATTCACAGGTTGAGAATAACTCATCATGTCAGATTCATCATAGGAAATAAAATGTAACAAAATTCACAAGGCAAGATTGTTTTCCATCCATGAGCGTGCCCAAGAGGGGACACCTCCATTAAAGGACTGAGTTAGGGAAAGTGAATTGTGCAAAAGAAATCGAGAGACGAATGGGAAAGTGAGACAGTGATGACACAGAACTCAGGAGAGCAGGGTCTGAGTAAGGACGGAAATTTACGAGTATCCTTCAGACTTAGAAACTGGGGATTATATGTAACCTCTTGGCGGATAGAAGTCTTACAAATGTTCATGCAAAACACAGAATAGGCAGATTTTTGACTTGGGGAATAGGAAAATCTAAAGCCTAAAAAAGGTAATACACATTGGGTGTTGTTTAACCACAATGCTGCTCACCCAGGAAGGGGATAACCCTTCATCCACACTTTTTTCTTGAAAAATGAGTCAGAAGATGTTTTGCTAATACGAGTCAAGGTTTCTGTCACTGGAGATGACTACTGTTAGTTATCATCAAAGACTTGACCATTTTCCTCAATTCCTCTTAATGTTACTCCAAGTCACAATAGCACTACATTTAAAAATAACACTAACAAATATATCAGAATAGTCATTTATTCATGACACTTTTTATGTCTGACATTTTACAAAGTTTAGGTAAATTTTCATTGATATTTTCTAGAGTAAAAGAATAGTATATGTATTCTTTATTTATACAAATGAGATAGGCTTTAAGGTTTCAAAAAGTATAATTTTTTTAATAAACTGAAAAAAGGAGCTAACGCACTACTTGCAAATCAACTATCTTGATAAAACATTGCCATTTCTTGAAAGAATCTGAAAAGGTAAATGTATTTTCTTTTTCCAAAGGATTCGAGGAGTAGAAAATTAAAAAGACAAACCTTCCAGAGAGAGGAGGAGGAAGTTTCCTTTATGGTAAGTTTTGTAACTATTATGTATGATTTTTTTGGTGTTCATTTTCCCCCTCCTATTGAGTAGCTTTTTGAGAGAGTAATCAGAGTTATCAACTGCCCAATCCATCTTCTTATGGATCTTCTGTCACCATCTTTGGCATATCGGGTGGTTAGCAACAGTCACTTAGATTACAAATTTGGTGTGTGTGTTTCGACAAGTTAAAAAGCAAGGTGTACTTCACTGCCGCTTTCTACATTCACCTGTGTTAGTCATACTATCTAGAGTCATACTCCATAATCACGTGGTTTTGGAAATTGTCACCGCAGGTTAATAGCCAAGGAAGGAATGGTGAATTCAGGCAGCTTCCAGAAAAGAGAGCACCAAAAGCTAGAATGATCTCCCAGGACAAGACAACCCTTACTGACCTTAAAAGTAACTCTAGTATCACCATACATCACCCAAACTGGGAGAATTTTAAGAGTGAGGGGTATCATTTTTTATGGCCTTGTAACATATATATAAATACATATATATCACATTTTACTTATCCATTCATCCATTGATAGACTCCTAGACTGATTCGTGTCTTGTCTGTTGTGAACAGTGCTGTGATTAACACGAAAGCACAGGAGTCTCTTCTCTAGGCCAATTCCGTTCCTTTCAGATGTGGCCTCCGAAGCAGCATCCTGGGCTCGCATGGTGCTGGAGGTTTATTTTTACTTTTCCATGTGTGATGTTGGCATCATGTCAGAGTGCCTGTTAAAACTAATTTTGCTGTATCACATGAATCTTGGTATGCTGTCTTAGAATTTTTTTCTTTCTTTTTGATTTCTCTTTTAACCTGTTGGCTGTTTAGGATCATGTCGTTTAATTTTCAGATTTCCTGCTGTTGTTTTTAATGTCATGCCATTTTATCAGAAAAGAGAATAGTTGCAATGACTTGCACTTGTTAAATTTGTATAACTTGTTTCATTTTCTAACATGTGAGATAATGTTTCACATGCACTTGGGAGTAGTGTTTATTCTACTGCTTTTGGGTAAAATTTCGGTAGGCCCATTTGGTGTAAAGTGTAGTTCACATAAAATTTTTTTCATTGATTTTCTATATGGATAGTCCATCAATTGTTGAAAGTAAGCTATTAAAGTTCCCTACTTTTGTGTGTTATCTGTCTCTTCCTTCAAATTATTGATATTTGCTGTATATATTAGGCTGCCATTGTTGAGAGCATATTTATAATGATTATTCTTGGGAAATCAACCACTTTATCTCCGTATGTTGACCATAATGTGGCAGTTAGCCACCTTAAATGTATATGGATTGAATTTTTCAATCCAATGACATATAGCAGCTAAATGGATAAAAAGTAAAGACCCAACTATATGCCTGCTGCAAGGGACTCACTTCTTATTAAAGGCAGAAAAACTGCAAGTGAAGGTGTAAGAAAAGATAATCTATGTAAAAGGAAACCAAAACAGAACAAAAGTAAGTATACTCGTATCAGACGAAGTACGCTTTTGGTCAAAAAAACTGTACAAAGGGACAAGGTCAGTATGTAACAATAAAAATTCAATATGAAAGTTCAATATGAAAAATTCAATTTTCAAAGTTCATTTACATACCATATATATGATGTGGCATTTTTCATAGATTAAATTTAAATTCACACTGAAAAAGTTTGTGTACATCTATTCACTGCTGTTGGTCTAATTACTCCCGATCCCATAGTTAAGTGTGAAGGGTATATGAGTTGCTTTAATATGTTGTGATGGTATTCATTTCTCCCACACCTCAGTTACTTTTCTTATTTGCATTTCTGTTAATTTTAAATTCAAGCAGAATAAATATTGGTTGGTCACTTTAAACTATGCCAGTACCAGAAATTACACAAAGTGAAACATTTGTTTTCCAGAAAAAATAACCGTTTTAGAAAATGTCGAAGGTACTGCATGTGAAGCAGTTAATGTATTTATGAAAAATTTCTGTGATTTGTTTCATCCTAGTGATAGCCTCATGTCCTCCTCCTCCTTCTTGCTTCTCCTTCTTATTAATTTAAAAAATATTTATTTTTTAATTTGAAAGACAGACATACAGAAATCTCCTGTCTGCTGATTAACTCATTAATTGCTCACCATAGCCAGGGCTAAACCTTCTATCTGCTGGCTCATTCCCCAAATGGCCACTACACCCAGAGCTGCACGAACCCAAAACCAGGATTCAGGATGCGGGAGCCTTTGCCGGGCCCCATGTGGGTGCAAGGTACCAGGGCTTTGGTCCATCCTCCACTGCTTTCCTAGGCCATTAGTGGAGGTGCTGAATTGGAAGTGGGGCAGCCAGGACATGTTCAGGGACTCATACGGGATGCTGGTGCTTACAGATAGAGGATTAATGAGCTGAGCCATTGTAGCAGCCTTTCTGTGTACATAATCAGAGAACTGGATCAGAAGTGGAGCAGCCAGTGCTCAAACTGGCAACTGTATGGGATGCCAGCATTGCAGGCAGCAGCTTTACTTGCTGTGACACAGCACTGCTCCCTAATTTGTCTAGTTTTGCTTTTTTTCCTGTGCTTTGGAGATCTTATCTGAAAAAATCGTTACATACATTTGTGTTCTGAAGTATTCCTCCTAACTTTTTTGTTGGTTTTATAATTTCAGGTCTTACATTTAGGTCTTAGTTCAGTGGGGTTTTTTTTTAAAGATTTATTTATTTTGATTACAAAGTCAGATATATACAGAGAGAAGAAGAGACAGAGAAATATCTTCCATCCAACGATTCACTCCCCAAGTGACCGCAATGGCCAGTGCTGCGCCAATCTGAAGCCAGGAGCCCACATTCTCTTTCAGGTTTCCCACGTGGATGCAGGGTCCCAAAGATTTGGCCGTCTTTGACTGCTTTCCTAGGCCACAAGCAGGGAGATGGATGGGAAGCAGGGCTGCTGGGATTAGAACTGGCACCCATTTGGGATCTTTAGGAGTTCAAGGCGAGGGCTTCAGCCACCAGGCTACCAAACCAGGCCCTAGACCTTACTTCAATGTTGAACTGATTTTTATATATAGTAGAGTTTAGGAATCTAAATTCACTCTTCTGTAAATGTCCAGTTTTGCCAGTACCATTTATTAAAAATACTATCCTTTCTCCAGTGAATGTTCTTAGCACCTTTACTAAAAACCAATTGGCTATGTAGTTATGAATTAGTTTTGGGCTTTTTATTCTGTTCTGTTAATATGTGTTGAATTTTTTTGCCATTACCATGGTTTTGCATTTATCATAGCATTATAGTATCCTTTGAAATCAGGCATAACGATGACTTGAGTTTGATTTCTTTCTGTTTGAATATTTTTGGCTGTTCTGGGGCTTTTGTGATTTCATATGAATTTAGGGACTTTTTCTTCTTTTTTTCGGAGGGTTAAATTCTGAAAGAATGTCATTGGTATTTTGATGAATATTGCATTAAATCTGTAGTCTGCTTTAGGTAATGGGGACATTTTATTAATATTAATTCTTCTAATTCATAAACAAGGAATATCTTCCTGTTTTGTGCATGTATGGAAATGGGCTTTGATTGAGTTAGTAGGAGAAACTGAGAAGTGGAATAGATGGATTAGAGAGGAGATACACAGGCAGGAAGCTCAGTTAAAAAGACACCATGAAAATGAGCCCAAAGGAAAGCCCCCCGAAGTGTAGAGTACTGGAGACTGGAAGGTGACAGGCTTGAGTGACATTTCAGATAGTCAATCCACTGGAGAGGGCTTCAAGTTTCCAGCCTGGCTGACGTGAAGATAGTGATGCTATTAATATAAAGAGGAAGTGTGAAAGGAAAGGCAAACATTTTGGTGGGGAGGAAGAAGTTTAGAGATTGAACTTGTACTAGCAAGGTAGGGTTGTGTCTGGAGCTGGACACTGGTGGACTGGAGATCGCTATGGAAGGAGGGAACACAAAGCCATGGAATGAGTGAGAGTGATTGTGGTGTGTGCAGAGAGAAGGTGATTCCTCAGGGTGGTCTTCCTCTGTAGTGCATTTATAGCCCTGCGGTTCCCGCGAGTGGCAGGAGGGACTCACAGGAGGGTGAGGGACACAGTGCTGAGCTGTCGGATAGGAGGAGTCAGGAGCGCTGAACGCCTGGCACAAGCAGAAGTTGCTGACATGCATAGTCTTTGCTAAAAATTGCAGCAGAGCTTCTAAACTGTTGGGATGTTTCAAGGTATTAAGTATTTTGCTAAATAATAAATCTTCTGAGAGCCGAAAATTAGATTGTAGAGTCCCCAAAATACCTTGAATTGCAGGATACATTTTAAATACTAGCAAAAGGGTCATGCAAACGCACAAGCTGCAAGACAGTGGTTGCCTAGAGCACACTGTCCAGAGAGAAGCTGAGCAATGGCCAGGCTCTAGCAGGAAAGCACACCATGAGCCATTAGGCGTATCCACCCGATGCGAAGGAGCTCAGAATCCCTGACTGAAACTGGCCTTCCCGTCGTTAGATGCTTTCCAACCTGCTGTTGGCCTTTCCTTCCCTTTGGTTATCAGCACCTGGTTTATCACGCATATCATCGAGAGGAAAAAAAGAGGAAGAGACAAGTAATCACTCATGATTTTATATGTGTCTCATTTTCCAGTACCTAGATCTAGAAAATGTCACTCTCTAGACTGAATGAGTGAATCAGACAAACAAATCATATGCCTTTAGTGACATAAAGAAGCATCTGCCTGCTCCCTTTAGTTGGCCCTTTGCAAATATAAGGCTTGAGTTGTGTGTGTGTGTCTGTGTGTGTGTGTGTTTAGATAAATACTCAAAAGGGAATATCATTGGGAAAGGAAATTAATTTTTAAGTTTCTTCAGTGCAAGAAGTTCGAGTAAGGAAAACTATGGGCTGAGACCATAATAAGCAGATACTGAATTAAAGAATTCACCAAGGGGACTTCACAGTAAAGTCATTAATAAAATTTCAGCTGAGGTTCTCCATAGTTATATTTAAAAACCTGTGTTACAGCTCTCATTAATTAATAAGTACTCATTAACAAAGAAATAAACTATTTTTAACCTTAAAGAGTTATATATAACACTTCTGGAAAATGTTATTGCAACTCAAATAGCTATCAGGATAACTTTTCAATAACTTTGTTTTACAGAATCTGAGGGCTGTAACCTCTCGTGTTTCTCCTAGTGCTTTGCTCCATCGTAAGTATCTCAGTCATGGTCTCTGGGAGAGCCTCTGCACTCCTGGAGAGGCAGGATTTTCTCACTGCGCCGTAGACACTGCCTGAGCCATCACTCGCCAGTCCAGTCTCTGCTGGGGAGTGTTCTCATCTCACCCACTGATATTTTCAAGGGTCAACTTTTAGAATTTCTCATATGAGAGATTGCTCTCTTCAATTGCTGAGAGAGCAGCCGCTAGAAATAGATAATGAATGAAGTGCTAATAATGGCTTAGACAATAGATCTGTGGGAATTAATATATTTTTTACAACTTGATTACATACTTTCTTTTTTTCAAAGAAAAGGTCTGTTTGAAAGTGAAAGCTATAGTGAGAAAGGGAGACAGAGAGAGAGAGCTTCCATCTGCTGGCTCACTCCCCAGACAACCAAACAGACCCAGAGCTTCTTCGGAATTCCTTTGTGATTGTCAGGGCCCCAAACACTTGGGCCATTTTGGTTGCTTCTCCGAGGCCATTAACAGAGACCTGGACCGGAAGTGCAGTAGTGAGAATATAAACTGATATCCATGTGGGGTACTGGCATGGTAAGCAGTGCCTTAACTCGCAATGCCACGGCACTAGCCCTTTGATTGAATGCTTACACCTTTTCTAATAAGCAGGGACCTTCACTGTTCGGACTGAAGGGAGGAAGCAGCTTGTTGTAGCAGAACAAAGGCTATTTCTGGCACACAGAGTTTAAGTATTTTTCTCTATAGGTTTGATTTCTTTCTGATAAGGGACTTTTGTATCAAATCCTAACATTCATCTAAACCCTAAGCTTTTTTAAAAGATCATCTTAACTGCCATCTCTAGATCTCTTAAGCAGTGGTCTGCTGTTCTCTGCTTTATTTTCTCTCCTGAATGTAGAAATGTGCTTTTACTTAGAGTGTAGGACCCCAGCTCAACACTGCCTGTCTTCGATAGATTCCATTCATCTTTCCCTGTCTCAGTTTCCTTATCTGTAAAATAAGTAACAAAAAGAGTGACTCATTCGCATGTTGCAACATAATGAGATAACATGCACAGCACAAATAAAAATGCCTCGCACCTAGTAAATGCCACTGGCCATGATAGTGTGTCACCATTCCTGGCAGATAGTGGCACACACATGGACTTGAATAGTCGTGATCAATTGGAACCATCATTCAGCTGATCTGAATCCAACAGAAGTAAAGGGAGGCAGGAAGGAACAGATGGAGCTAGATGGAGTTGATGAATAAGCATGTCTTAATTCTTTACTGCATGCCAGGCACGAGGGACACAATATGAACAAGATAATGTTCTCTGCCTGAGGGAGCTTATATTCCAGTGTGTATGTGAAAAGGTGAGGGGCAAAGGAAAATAATAATCGTGACAGTGCAGGGAAGAAAAGGGACTCAAGTTGTGGGAAACAAGGCTGGGAGATCTACTAAAGACAGATGGGAGAGGTCTCCCTGAGAGGAGAGATTGATCAGTAGGACAAGGAGTCAGCCATGAGGAGAGGCAGTGTGGAGCATGCTGGGCAGAGGTTCCGTGGTGAGATGGAGCTTGGACGACAAGGACACGGCAAGTGGAGACACAAAGGGATCAGTCTGTGTAGGGGCTTGCAGGCTGCTGCAGAGAACCTGGGCGCCACTAGACCTGATGAGAGAATGTAATTTCTAGCCAGCTTAATTAAAACTCTGTGAGATGTGGAGAAAGATTTGAAAGCAGACATTTTAGATGAAAAAGCAGAGACAATGGAAGCAAGAGCGAGCCTGATGGAGTTGAGGAGTTGCCTCAGGGAATATGAGAAACTGTTTTCCTTTTGGAAAGTGTCAGTCTGTGGAACAGCTGCTGCTTTGCAGTAATGGACTTTGACAAGATTCGCCTCCATGCAGACAGACTTGGTGACCTTTTAGAATAGACGACTCCCTTACTGCCACGTTGAGCCTTCTGGGACGTTAATGTGCAGTGAGCTCTCCAACCTCGCTGCTGAGTGGTTTCATCTCATTCTCTTTCATGTCAGAGGAAGGACATAAATCATTTATGTTAGCTTGGGTGATTGAAGAAGCTTTTCATTTCCAATTTGCTCTGCTGTGTGTGTGTGACTAATTTGAGTTTATAATCATTATTACACATGGACAGCTCTTCCGCGGGATGAACCAGGAGTTGGAAAACATAATGTTTCTATAAAAGTTGATGTAGTGGCCTTGAACTTAAGCTTTCTAGCCTGAATGTGAAACTTGAGAGTTAACATTGTATTCCGTTCCCGGTAACAACTCTGTCCTTTTTCTTTCAGGTTATTAATCATCCTAACAGCCTCTTTGAGAGGGACTTAACTTCCAACTTCTCTCAAGTTAAAAATTTTAACTCAAGTGGACATTTCTGTAGAGTATTTGTTACTTTTGCATAATTTTTGCAGTAATTCAAGAGTATAAGGGTTGGAAAAAGGCTCTTTAAAGAAGATTTTTGGTTAGTTAAATTAAAAAAAGCTTTTGAACAATCTCCTGCCCGCTGATTTTGCAATCTTCATATTTTTCCCTTTGAATATGAAGTGGGACCATGTTCAAGCACTGGCATAGAAGCGTATAGATGTCTTGGGAATTGGAGGTTCTACTCTGTGACGATGTTTGACATTATTAGTTTCTCATCAGTGTTACAGCACAATAAGTATTTTATTTCTACTTTTCTTTACATTTATCATCATAAAAATGCTCTAGAATTAAAAACCGCCTCCAGAGCAGTAAATTCAAGGCAATGATTGATATTAAAATCTGTTGATCAGATTTCAATGGAGTCATTATTTTTCAAATATATAGATATTTTTAATTCTCAAGTAAGAGAAAAAAAGATCCTTTACAACTTAAGAAGAATATTAGCAAATGTTTTAATAGAATGAAATTGTGTCAATTTGCTTCAATACTGAATTCTTAAATTCAATGATGTTCTGAAATATTCATTACTAATTGTTGTAACCACTTTTTCAAAGAGATTTATTTAGCTATTTGAAAGTCAGAGCTATGGAGAGAGCGAGGTATGGAGAAAAAGAGAGCGAGGGAGGGAAGAGAGAGAGAGAGAGAGAGAGAGTGCTTCCATTCTCCAATCCATTCTCCATATGACTACAATGCAGGGCTGGGAAAGGCTGAAGCCAGGAGCCAGGAGCTTCATCTGGCCTTCTCACCTGGGAGCAGTTGGCCATCTGCTGCCAATTTCCTCACACTTAGCAGGGAGCTAGATTGAAAATGGAGTAACTGGAACATGACTTAGAATCCATATGGGACACCAGTGTTTTCCACTCTGCCATAACACCAACCCATACCAACCTTTTCCTAAGCAACTTTCTAAACTTCCACCTAGGCAAAATTTGGAAATGGAGTATATAAATATGTATTTGATATTGCAATATTCAGATATAAATGTGTTTGATATTATTGCTGTTGATTTTTACACAAAACCAATACAGCTTCATTTTGACTTGGGAATATGGGCATATGATAATCACAAATTATGGAAGAAAATGACCCATTGCCTTTGTAGGTGAGTGAAACTTGAATCCATATATTTAGAAGTCCCTCCCACTCAGATATCAAAGTGGAAATTCACATGAATGGGGCATGTAATTTCATGTGACTCATCGTTTAAGAAAAATACTAGATTGAAGCCTCCCAAAGTGGCTTTCTACCTTGAGATCATTCACTTATTTCAGTGCTGCTGCCCTCATTTAAGAAGTGTTGACTCTTTCCCTTTGCAATGCCCTTGAAAACCTACACAAAATTTTAGATATATACATCTATGGTACTAGTAGTCATCATCCTTCAAGAGTGGCTGAGGTGTGGGACAAAGAATTTGTTTCTGAAATGGCAGAAAGGCATTCAGAACCATTTTGTTTCAGATACTCCAAGTCAGAAATAGGCTGTAAAAGCTGGGGTGTGCATGTGCAGGTGCATGTTTGTGTGTAAGAATGGAAAAAGAGAGGAGAATGGTAGGAGCCCAAACCCTGATGGCAGTTTGAAAAGCAAAGCTTGAAATGGTTTCAGCAGCTGATGTAAAAAGAGCATAGAGCTTTCCATGTTGAGTGTTTTGGGAGATGAGTGATTATGCTGAAAGTGTAGGCAACTAGGTTAAGCACTAAGATTTTGTAGATATTCACTTACATTTGTGAGCTCATTTATATTGGGATTTAAAGGGGACGCTATACAAATTGAAATTGAATGCCGTTAGCTCTTCCTAAGGTTCTTCCAGATGCTTAGCATCAATCTGACCAGAGGCCTTCCTCTGCTGCTTATACCATCCTGTTTGAGGCTCACCAGGGAAACATGTTCTTAGCTCTCTTGAGTTTCTGAAGATTCTTCAGTTGCACAGGTAACAATCAAGATGGCGCTAGTAAACACTGGCTAGAAGGGGCAAAGTAAACTTAGGGAAGAGGGAAAGATGCTCAGGTTCAGGGACACAGTTATTTTCTAACCCAAACTTTGGCCTATTTGCTTTTTTTTTTTTCTTTCCTTAGGAGAAGAAATGATGACAGAACAAAAATGAGCAACTTAATAGTAGCTGCTAGCCAAAAGTTCATATTGATTATCCAAACTTCTTCATGCCTTATGACAAGAGATTGAGCGCTATGTTGAACAAGTTTTAGATTTAGGAGACAGTGCTAGTTCAGCTCAGGTGTTAATTTATTGATGATCTTGTCAAGTTATTTCAAGAAAATCAAGTTTTACTTATTCTTTAAAAATGAATCTTTTGAGATAGACAAATACTAAGACCTCTTATTTATATATCTATATAAATATATCTATATTCTATAGATGTATGTTTTATTTGCATATTGTATTTATTCTATATATAGATACATACAGAATATATATGTAGATCTATATCTATCTAGATATAGATAGGGCTTTTTAAAACAAAACCATCCAAATTAAAATAAGCTGCTCCAGATCATACGGTTTTAAGAGGTACAACTGAGGTTTGAAAGCACACAGCTTTTGTCTCCTAGTAAGCTGTTGACTTTGTCAGATAAATAGCTCTCTCTTTCTCTCCTTTTTCCTTTAAATTTGTTGAAAAATCATTCAAGAAAGGAGCTATTAGATTAGAAAGACTGCCCTATCAATGAAACAGGACAGTTCTGGAGAAAAACGCTTTCTCAACTGTGCAGAAAAATCTATGCTTGGCTTTAAAGCTAAAGATAGTTTACTTTTTATTACCCTTTTGTTTGGCTCAAATGCCTTCCATGATTTCCATTTCGGATGTTTACTTTGTTCAGCACTGTGAGAAATCCCAAAGCACATTGAGTTACATTAAATGCAGTCTTCTAGTCATCTGGAACACAAATACTAAACTCTAGAGGATCTGGCTTAATTTGGAGGAATGATCTTATATATCCAAGTGTTTAATCCTAACTAACAGCATTTGAGAGTCTATAACGTACAAAATCTTACAGGTTATTCCAAACAGACTGATAATGTATGCAAAATATTAACATAATGCCACTGGACATCACGCACTATTGATAACAAATTCTAACTGGTAAGAAAGATGTTTTGTTGCTCTGGCCTATAAACAGAAGTTATTTGATTTTAAAATACAATTACAATAGAAAGAAAAATCAATGAATGTTCATAAACATTTGTGATTGTCAACATGGTTTTGTTTTGTAAGAAGAAAGCAGGAAAGCAAAACATCCACTTGCTTAATCAAGTGTATAAAATCCTGCAGTTCCTCCTCAAAACATGCCCGGCAAGTTATTGCCAAAGCAGTACTTTTCATTCTGTAATCTTACACATTCTGATTAGTTGCACTTAGGAAAAAAAATTGTAATTGCTTTAGAAACTGGAGGGAAGGAGGAGGGAGATGGAGGGGAGAGAGAAAAACTAGAAATAGACAGAAAATAGACATTCCCTGGTTCACTCCCCAAACGCCACCCCTACCCAGAGTCTGGGCCTGGGCCAGGGCTGCAGCTGGCAGCCAGGAGCTCAATCCTGGTCTCCCACATGGGTGTCAGGAACAAAAGTACTTGGGCTGTTCCTGCCGTTTCCTCGTGTAAACTGGAAGCCAGAGCCAGGAATTGAACCCAGGCACTCTGATGTGTGGACACAGGTAGCCTAAACAACATTGTAACCATTAGGCTACATGCCCACCCTCAATGTGATTTCAATTTTGCATATGTATTAAGAATAATTTTGTGACCTACTGTCTATCTATCCTGGAGAATATGCCATGGACTGCTCAGAAGAATGCGTGCTCTCTTGTGTGAAAATGGAATGTATATAGATGTGTACTAGCTCTGATCGGCCCGGAGTACAGTTTAAGTCTTGCTGTTTCTTTGTTGACTTACTGCCTTGGTGATCTGCCCATTGCTGAAATTACAGTGTTAAAGTCTCCCTACTATTTTTACAGTAGAATCTGTTTCTCCCTTTAAGTCTATTAATATTTACTTTATATATTTGTGTGCTCAAACATTTGCTGTGTCTATATTTATAACTGATATTTTCTCTTACTGAGTTGACCTCTTTATATAATGGTCTTACTTGGCTTTTTAAAATTCTTTTGATTTAAAGAGAATTTTATTTGCTATAAGTATGGCTATTTCAGCTTTTGTAGAAAGAGGGCTGTTTTGGCATGGGATATCTTACTATATCCATTTACTTTCAGTCTGTACATTTATGCATGTACATATTCTTAGAGATAAAGTGAAATTAATACAAGCATAAGACAGTTGAGTTTTGCTTATTGTACCCATTCACTCATTCTTTGTTTTTTTTATTTTAATTGGGTAACTTATTTATTCTTAAGGTAATTATTAAGACTTGATTACTACTGCTGTTTTGATACTTGTTTTCTAATTTTATTAGTTTCTTTCTTTTTGTCTGTCTGCCTTATAATCTCCTTTTCAGGCTAAGTGATTTTCTGTAGTAGTGAAATTTGATTTCTTGCTTATTCTTTTATTTGGATTAGTTGGCGGTAGTTTTTCTTTGCAGTGTCATGAGGACAACAACGACAAAGAACTTTGATGTGACAAGCTATTTTTAAAGTTTATTTGGTTGGATGTCAGAGTTAGAGGGACAGGGGAAGACACAGAGATGAAGAGGTCCTTCGTGATCTGGCTGAGTCCTCAGATGGCTGCAGTAGGTGTTAGTGGCCTGAGCAAAGCCAGAAGTCAGGAACTGCATCTGTGTCCCACATGGGTGGTGGAGGCTCAGGTGTTTCAGGCATCTTCTGCTGCATTCTCGGGTGCATTAGAAGGAACCTGGATTGGAAATGGTGCAGCCAAGACTTCAGCTGGTATTCATAGGGGATATTAGTACCTCTGGTGGCAACTCAAACTACTGTGCCACAAGGCTGGTCTCTGACAAGGTATTTTAAAAAGAGAGCAACCTAGCATTGATCATAAAGACAGAGAAAGAAGCCAAAAGTGTAAGAAGGTAAACAAAATCTGGGCCTGGCACAGTAACCTCGAGGTGAAAGTACCAGGGTCCCAAGTGGGCATTGGTTCATATC